TCTCGTAGGCCGTCGGCTGCCTTTACGCACTACTTGAAATTTGAATCGCATACGGGCCAGAGACTGCCATAAGGTGTCAGATAATGAAACAGAAAGACCTGCTGCAACAGCAATAAACACCTGAAGTCGTCTACAAGATCTGGTGCAGTTACGGACAAAGCAACTATGTCGGAGAATTTTGCAGATTTCTTAAGAAACGACTTGCCGAACACGTGGCAGCAGTGCGGCGAAATGATGCTAATTCTCAAGTTGCGGCTCATTTGACGAGACTCCGCCATACATTCAAAGTTGATGGGACCGAAATTCTCACAAGAGGTGACAATCAGGTGAGCCGAGAATTATTTGAGTCATGGTTCACGGGCCTTCAATCCATAAACAAGTGCAGCAAGTTGCCCAATCCATATTCGGTGCCGAGACTCAATTTGGCCAAAGCATGTCGCCACTTAAAAACAGACATGACACCACGTCATCTAACGCCAACCCCGGAGGGCCAGATGGGCGAGCAATCATCACGCACGAGTCAATCACGCCTGATGAAATTTTAACAGGTCAGAGCCCGCATGCCGTTCAACAAACTGTGAATGCGCAAGAAAGCAATTATCTTTAACTGTCTTTGTATGTTTGCAGTATTGACTACAACCTATAACAACTGCAAACTCCTGTGCCTGTGCTACCAGTATCTGTTATTGCTCTCTGCTAATGTCTCCGGTGATGAATCCGCCACGGACTTCGAACCGTCAGGCGATCAAGTCGTCTTCTTCTCACGTACTTCCTGAAATTCGCATATTCGCTTGTATCGGCAAGGGCATTATTTTATGTAACTGATTAAACCTAAGGAATAATAGCAAATTAACAGTGCATTTTGCAAAGGGTGTGACGTCAGTCTACTGGCTGGTTAAGCAAATTATCATGCCTACACGGAAATCGTCGTTCTAAGGCACGGTCAAGCTGTAATTATGTGGTAACCAGAGCTGCACTCAAGTGTACTCTACACAGCGACCAGACTAGACATACGTTTGTTGAACGTAAACTTCATCTGCACATGAAAACTTAATAGTTATTTGCAATGCATGTGCGATGATTGTTTTTCCAGCCTAAAGTTTTAACCAGCGAGTTACAGAAACGAGGATTGCGTAATGGCTTCACCTATAGAAGCAAATATACGAGTTCCAGGAAGCGTTTCAGAAGACGAAGAAGATGCAATCACTGGAGCAGATATATTATTTTCCTGACATTTCGGATTCTATGAAAGATGCTTAATCAGAGGTGACCGTAGGATAATGTGAGACATGCGCAGTTGTCACACGCATGCACATTTTTCATACTATTCTACGCTAATCTATGATTAAGGATCTATCACAGAATCCAAAACGTCAGGAAAATAATATCTCTATTCTAGTGATTGCTTCTTTTTCTTCTTCTTCTTCCTCTAAAATAACTTCATGTAAAACAGTAAAGAAGAAAATTCACGGGAGATACAGGCAGCATGGCGTCCTATTTCACGAAAAGTACCTATCCCATATCCTTGCACTAATAAAACTTGTAATGGAAACCATACCTACAAGCCATGTTTTTTCTTCCGTAATTTTGTACGTTCCCGCATGTTCTACGAGGATTTGCTCTTTCTCCGTTCTGTCGCAGGGCAGGGTCCGGCACTAACTATCCCTAATGACTATATATGCACAACACGCAGGAAAGCGTGATAATCGGGGGTCAAACTGCACCCTTTATGTACTACAGAATATGGGGCACTAATAATAATGTTCGCTTGTCTCTCGGGAAAACGAAAGATTAATGGTTTTATTTGTGCCACTGACATGTTATTGCTTCTGCGCACATACTGGTTTGTCCGCAAACGTATTTCACTTACCATCGCCTATGTAAGAGCAGACAGGTGAGGATTTAACACGCGAAACCACGGCGAAATTACGTTTAAGTCTGACATGTACGAAGCGCTTTCCATAATTAATGTCCTCTGTAGCGTATGTACCCACAATACGATAATAAATCAAATTCAGTAATTTGCGATTGTGAACTGCCACGTAGTCAGGAGGAGGGGATGCTAGTGGGAAAACGTCACGAGATTGTGTTTGCAGCCTCAAATTAACCACTGGCTGTCATCCACTTGTGCGCTATCGAGCTTGCTGACTGCTTTATATATGTTAATAATGTGGGGTTACTAACACAATACAACTGCAGCATACAAATTGCAGAAATAAAATTAGTTTTCAAAAGTTTTAACGAACAGTGAGTAAGTGAAACGAAAATGGTGACTTTGTACAGTTAAGAGGGTGTTAAAACCTTCTGGAAAAACATGAGACGAATTTTATATGCCCTTGATAATTTTGGTCACTGTTAGCCACGTACAAACTTAAACATCTCAAATTTTAAAGTCCAGTGGATAAAGCGAAACCAATGATTCGCAACAGCCCACAAACACTTTCTGAGCAAGAATACTGAAAAATTCAAACAAAAACGAAGAGCCTTAGTTAACTTTTCTAAAACGGCTTTCAATACTTGATTTTAAGTCCGGTTGCGTCATTCAGCAACATGTTAGGACAATTAAATACCACCTTAGGTTGTTTTCGGGAAGAAATTTAGGCTCTATTTGGTCTCCGGCGCACGCGATAAAGAGCATTACCGGCTGTGTTTAGTTTACATCTATAATCTACGTTTCATGAATTTGCAAATAATAAGGAATATGTTGTACTTATTGTAATTTTTGTGCGTTTGCAAATGTAGATCATCAATAAATACGTCATTCTGGTCACCTGAGATATGCATTTAACATCGCAAACCACATGAAAGTAAAACGCCATATGCATCAAAGTATGCTTCGAATATTTGAAGTACGAGCGATTGATTTGAATATATTTATTTTTAGTGAACTTATTCTGTTGCCTTTGTGTTAAAGCCTGTTGTTTCTGATGATTGCTTCGCGTGCTCGATGAGATTTTGACCTTTTACGCTTTTAAAATAAAGCACGTAGACGCGACGCCCAAACGTGCAATTTAAAGTACACAGTCAGACAGTTATCTATTCTGATGCACCCCACTAGGTACAGGCCAAGAAATGTAGTGCCACGTTTACTGTCGGAAGATTTTTTCAAACGACTGGTTCGATTCAGACGGCACTGACGGTCGCGTGTAATAAATAAGGTTATTCACTCCAAAACTTCACATTTGATTAGTACGGAGCTTAAACCGACACCAGCTATATCAGTATATCCCAATATGAGCCCTCGGTGATTATATCAGCACAACTGTTATGGACGGATAAACGTTACGATTAAATTGCCTCCAGAAGTGATGCAACCACAGGAGACTGCAAAAGGGCACGCAGTTTTGGGCAGCAGAGTTCAGTTGTAAGAAAGAGTGAAGCTGACCACTCATCAGGCAATGCACAAGTCTTCCTAAAGCAATGTGGTACCTCAATATTATTCCTACATTTACGAAGTTGTTAGTACATTCTTTGGCGAAATTTCTCAACTGTTTTGATAACTTGTGCCATCTACCATGATTATCATCAACTTTTCATGAAAATGGATCAGGTGTACGCGTATCTGCTACTGTATTTCCCTGACCCGATACCGGCAAGACAACGAACTCCTAGCTCAATGGTTAGGACGTTTAACTCTGGTCAGAGAGGTCGCGAGATCGAGGCTTGGGTGTAAACCCACTTGGGACTGGATATAACTAGCTGACTACTGCTAATAAGGCACAAATGGTCATCCTGGTCTCACTGATTTTTTTTTCGGTAAGTACCTTCTGCATATATATGTTTATGAACTGCTTGATGGCAAATGCGTCGCTTTATATTCAGGCACCTAATGGGTTCTTGCGAGACCAGGCAGATCCACTAAAGATTGAAAGATTTCTAATGGACAAAGCGTACTCAATCTCTTTTTCGAACTACATTTTACTGGGCGTGTCATGCATAGGCGTGGTAATACGTAAGAAAATTGCTTTTCGTTAAGAGTTTTTTTTTAACTGTAAGGCCTCCTTGCTTACGGAAAATATTCCCGCATAAAGATATGTTTCGGGCCAATTCATATTCGTTGTATTTTAAATATCATTGTTTTGAGTACGTATACGATATTTATAATGCTCCATTCACACAAAACTAGAATAAACGCGTAAGTCCCCTTTCAAACCCAATATAAACATGTGCGCTAGATTTAAGACAGTTGATTAATTATAGCATAACGGATTTGAGTACACTATGCTGCATAATAGTACACGTAAAAATAAGGGAGTTCTTACACTTCGAGTCCTCAGGAAGAAAGCCAACGTAGTACATTTTTTTTGCGGATCTAGAAGATACTCGAGCAAGCCTCCACCATCTCGAAAGTGGATCGGGAATTCCAGGATATCACCCGCATCATTTTCAGCTGCACTGGCACTAACTCCAATACTGTCCTTCCAAGCGTTGATGATAGATGCCTCCGGCTCGTTAACTTTCATCAACTGGTTGTTGCTGTTGCGGAATTCGGGAAGCGTTCTCACAAAACTCAGTACATTCAAGCCATTTATGTGGAATTGCGAAAGCCGACCAACAAACGCATCTGACTCGGGTATTTTGAAATCACTCGGATGATTCTCTTTATTCAGAAGATCGCGTGATCTGCCCAGGTTTCCGATGCATATGTAGTCACTGTCCAGCATCGTGGCCTCATCGCTGATGTCTGAATTTGAATAAAGTTATCGTTATTCAGTTAACGCATTTCTGAACTATATATGCTTAAAAAGTGCAAATCTTCATAAAAACGCAATTTAAAGAAGGAAAAAAGCGTACTTTTTAACTCGTAGATGACCGAAAGTATCTAAAATTAATTGAACGTATAAATGCGTGTGTAAGATATTCCCACGATAGTGGACAGTACCGGGTTCCAGCTGACAACACACCAGGCACCACCATTTGTCATTTTCAATTCTCAAAAGTGAAACCTTTGGGTATGCATTTATATTATCTAGATACATTTAGGTGGGATGTGGCTGTGTGGCAAAATATAGCAAATACAAAAGGAGCTCTCTTGGGCCTAATGAATTTAGTCGGCACCCCTTTCCGAGTTCGTGTAGCAGGGGTTTTGCTAGGTTGCCGATAAACGTACATTTTCTCCGCCACACAGGAATGCGAAGGTTTAGGCTACTCTGTACATCCATGTATGCATATCCGGTCTCTGGATATTAATGGTAAGTTATAAATATCGCAATGTCATATGGGAAATACGTGTACGAGTGTTCGGGACACGCGTTTCCGGGTGCAACCAGAAATTATAATTAAATATTTAACCGAAAATGATTATCCCCTTGCGTAAAATGCATCTATTACATGGTTGACTTGCTCCTTAATAGCAAAGATTCTGCCTGAAGAAAATGACTTCCAGAGCTACTTACGTGTCTGTACGTTGTGCATATTAATAATTCTTAACGCCTATCGATGAATATGACCGATCGTTCTAGCGGTGCGAGCGTAAAGTAAGTTATTCATGTCTCCATGTAACTGCTTCAGTAACCATAAAAAAGTGTTCCATCGGCACACCCTTCTATCGCTCAGGGATCAGATCGTTCGGTGTGAAGTATTCTCTAGTTTTACTTCAGACTTGCATCGACTACTCGCTCGTATTGGAAAATGCCTAATAGTACAGTGCGGCCTAAACGTCACGTAACTTGCCGACATTTGCGAAATATTGATACTCACTTGCTAAACGGCATTGGGTGAGGTTGAAATACTAATCAGCTGGTAGCCAAGTTCGAAGTTATTTCAGTCACAATAGGATGCAGTCTTTATAACGAGCTTCTATCTGACCGCTAAGAAAAATTCTGTACTGTAAAAGACGGCTGCTTAAGTGGTATTCAAGTTAATCGGTGATTTTGACCGTCCTTATAAATCTAAATGTATTTTATGGAAAGCATGCACGAAGAATCCTTTCTCGTACTCGTTAAACTTAAAGAAAGGGAGTTTTTCGGTTTTGGAAAAAATTCGACTTATGAAACATTTTACGATTGTAAGGTGTTTATTCATAATACGTTGTAGCCGTCAATTTATGAATGCTGTCCATAATATACAGAGAATTATCCATATCTATTGCAAAAGTTTATGATAACTATGCGACTTCTTCCTCAAACCGTAGGCAAGAGCATACTTTTTCTTAAACAGGGTATACACAGCTTGCAGCTTTTTAAGCTTGAATTCAGGCGTAGAAGTCAGTAGGTTTCAAACTTTTTCGGCAATTTTGAATTTTTTTAAAACTGGAAGGTACCCTTCCTTTATGTACAGAATTTAAAGAAGGCGTAATTTGCTACTTCACGAGTGCGATAAAATTTTTTCGTAAATGCTTTCCGTAAAATATAATTTAATTTATAAAGGCACTCAAAATAAATGATAAGAATGCATGGGGACCAAGCCATTTTAACTGTATATAGTTTTTGATAGCTGCCAGGAAGAAGCTTACTAAAAGGTTGGCATCCAATCGCGACTGAAATGATTTCAGAATAGGCTACACGATAATTCGTATTACTACCTTAATGCCAATTAGCGAGAGAGTATCAATCTTTCGCATATGTCGGCATACTGCATTAATTCTGAGCCATTTTCCAATAATATTTTGATCATGCGAACGAGCAGCCGATTCATTTATGAAATGTAACTCTTGATTTTGCACGAATTCAGAGCCGTACAGTATGGTGTATAGTTAACTCGTTTGGAAATGTTATGAATGCACGGGTGGAGTACATCATTATGACCAGATCATTCAGCCCTTATCCTAGAGGTCTGATAAACGCTAAAAGGTGTTCTTAAAATTTCGCGGCTGAGCCAGCGTAACAATCCCAATACTATCCGCTGACGAAGGGGTACAACAGCAGTCACATAGGGAAACCTTTTTGTTCGGGTTAAGCCCATAAACTGGAATCTCCTTCAGAAGGAAAAGGAGAGAGGCCGAAACATCTATTCTAAGTAAAGTACCGCAGAGAAAGGAACCACAGATTTGCACGGCGACGGCCTACATCCAAAGCACGCAAACACCACATCACATGGCAGCAAAACGTCTGGTTTTGCGATAAGGCGCAAGGAAAAAATGCGTCTTAGCTTATGGCCACGCACAACACGCAGATTCTATTAGATAATTTACGGAACCCGTGTTATTTGGCAGCTGACCTCAGCGCGGCAAGGCAACTGAACAAAGTGAGGGGTCACTCTGCCGACACAGAACGCATGCTATCAGCCACGCAAAAGCAAATCCCGGCTAGTGCGTACACTGGCTATAAATTAGTCTGGAGAGGAGAGAGCTCAGAGAATTCTGTGTCTTTTTTGCAGTTACCACGACTACTGAGGAAATAGAGGTCACGCTGGCGCACAAACGGTTGGCCATGAGGAGACTAGGATCAGTTAGTAACAAGCCATTAGGTCAGAGTTTGCATATAGGACACAGCTTTCTACGAGGCATGCGACAAGGCTGATGCGATTTGAGCCGACATGAAGAGCCATTTCACCATGTATTGAACCGCTGTTATTTGCGGTGCGTATAAATGTAAATGATGCTAACAAATCCAATAATAGGACCTTCTCACCATTTGCGCTAGGGGTTCAATCAAGAGCTCCGTAAGGAGGCGCATAGTGAGTTTAGATTTATGCCGATAAATACTATGAACAGGCGCCAGAGCGACTGAAATGTCCATTTCGCGTTTATTAGGCGTCACCAGTGAGCTACTCACAACCTTGAGGTTTGTTGTGTGTTTGTTTGTTGTTTCACCATTGATTTTGATGAGGTCCATTATGTGGTCAAGAACAGGGATTGATTGGTAAAAAAAAACGAGATTATAGTGAAATAGACGCGAGATTATTTACCTCACTCTAATCCTCCTCCGGTGACAAGACCGAAGTCAAGAGCACCGGACAGGATTTGGGGGGAAGCCGCTTTCTCTAGTGCAGCGTGAAACACCGCCTAACTTAGTCTTTAGTGACAGTAAATTTTGCGCGGGTACTGCTGCACTCTCTACCTTTACTCCCCTATATTAGGCGTAAAGTCAGATTCTAGGTAGCCAGGGCTGGTACTGCTACTACCACTACTGATATTTCTAATACCTTAAACTGGGGTGTAGCTGAGTGATTATATTTGCTGATAATATTACTGAATGTCAGCGCTGGGCTCATATTCACTCAATCTCAACAAGAAGTGTAGTAGTACTGGTGCTAGCAATGACGCTACCATGTGTTAGAGGTGACGCTGATTTAGCCAACGCTTGGGTTCATACCTTGAGGTTTGTAAACTCTAAGACAAGAACCGGGAGCTTTTTCATGTCGATGACAATCAGGAGTATTAAATATATTAAGAGTGTGAATAGGTTCCTTACGGCGACCGTGAGCTCGAACTCCAAGTGATGATGGAAATTTTAAACCTACTTCCGACACATATCAAGCGTAAATTAGTTGAAGTGTTCACCTGACGTGCTTCATAAAAGTCTTTTCTCAAGTAGGATGGGTCTCTAGATAATTGTTGCGAGGCGAAGCTTCCATATTTGCGGGGAAGTCAGTGTTTCTTTTTACTCAGGAAATTAGCACTGCTACTACCCCCCGGGCCAATATTCGCGCATTGATGCGTTTTTCCTACTAGAAGTCATATATCTTATCACAGTTGACACTTGTTTTTCAAGTTTTTGCACGCGATTCAAATCTGTAAATAGTATCTTAGCTGCAGAGTTAAAAGCCATTGTTTGAAATCTTTCATCTGACATTTTGACGAAGGTCATGCTGTCCGAAAATACTTTTAGCGCAGGCCACAGGTAATCACAAAACTATCCTACATGATGCGTCCCTTTTTAACGGCATATTATTTATATGCCGCTTGATTTCCTCCTACGAATAATTTGTAACTGAAACTGTCAAAGAATCAGCCGTAAGCCCGATAATTTAGCGTTACCACGACCGTGATAGGAGACATTTATACTTATAGAAAGAAAAACAAAAGTATTCGTAATGAAAGAGCTATAAGGGAAATCGGAAGTCTTTTTGACTGCGGCAGAAAAACTAGCCGCAGATGTCAGGTAAAAGGAACACTTAATACTCCATTGTTTTTAAACTCATGTTACTTAGGGAAAAGGGCTATGTGGAAATTCATCATCGTTATATGCTTCCTTAAATAATTTGTTAAAGAGCCTTTTCGTCAAATACCTTCTTCCGGACAATTATTTCGAGTGCTTAAGTTTTATTTTAACGCTAAGTTGCAAACAAGGCCCATGCAAAAATAATGTTCGATAATTCAATGCGATAGTAAATGATTTGAAGTCGTATCATGTTGTGGTGGTCACCATAAACAATCTAGGAAAGCATCGTTTTGGATAGTTGGTTCAGAAAACCCGAAATGGTTATTCATGAACCGATATTTTAAATGGCAGTCTGAAATGCGGTCGATTAGAGTGTCGTCAAAATACTACGACTACGTTAACACACGAGATGGTTTTAAATACAAATAGGATTTAATGAATTAAGTGACCCTATTTCTGTAAAATCGTATTCTTCCATATCCACCACAATCCTCTTTGCCTTAATCTAGCACAATTCGGGCAATATGAAACTGCATGTCGCTAAACATCGAAGAGGGAGTAGTTATCTAGTCGTCGGGCTTATTATGGCATCAGTTATTCGGAAATATTTAAAGACAAACATCAGAAAATAGGCCCATAAACACTTTCAAGTTTGCACCGCCTTATTTGTTCATTTACTTACGTTGAAAGCCTTCACGTTTATTACAGCACACGACCTTAGTGTGATGAAAGGAATTTTCGCATACAATTACAATATGGTTAGTATCAGACGTAAATATTTTTCGGAATAATCCTTCTGCAAAGTGCCCTTTTTATGTAAAAAAAACAAACACACAAAATCACTTAGTTATTTGGTTAATGTATTTGTTAAGA